TATTAGCTGTTACAGAAACATGAGAAGTGATTCTGGTCATTACCAAAGCTGCTGGTTTAGGGCAGCTGTGGTATCAAGCTGACACTGGTTGGAGGTCTAGTACATTCGTTAAACTCTGTGTGTATATATGTGATATAAACGCTGGACCACCTCACAGCACCCTCACTGGTGTGTGTTCAGGGTGTTGATGGTGTGATGAACAGCAGCGCTACACAGTCACTGTCAGGCTGGTGTTTGTACAGTGTGTGTCGTCTCTCTGCTGTTTAAACACTAAAACCAGAATCAGATTCCTGCAGTTTGACTCCGTTTCCTCTGTGAGACAAAAACACCTGAAAAAAACCCCCAAAACTTAATAGCCTTTAACATCAAGTGGTTCTGGTTCTGGTACTCCAGTTTGTGTTCCAAAAATGCCTCACAGTATTCAGTTGATGCTGCTGTTTCCAGATGTTCTCTCGACGTCTCACAGCCATCAGGCAGTGTTTACTTCACTCAGAGACACACAGACAGACCTGACAGGTTTCAGAGGTTCTAATCAGGAACATGCAGGTCCGACAGAACCACCAGTAAACTGACCTAGCAGGGAAATTCAAACATGGTGAATATTTTCACCCTGGATTCGTGTCCTCAGGACCAGGAGTTGTCTGAGCAACTCTGCAGGAGTTTTAATATCAGCCTGTCAGTCTGAACTCAGGGACATTAAACGTCCTTTGTGGGGCAAAAACTCTCAGGACGACTCGACCTTTCTGTCGCTATGTCGCTGTTTACAGAGTCATGGAAACAGCCGAGAGACCAGAACTGAGACAGAACTGCAGACCCAGAACCAACACTAGAGTACGGCACAGTGCCCCCTGCGGGCTGTAAATAAGTCAACACTGTAAATGAAGCATGTCAAGAACATGTTAACAGAGCACGAAGAACTTTACATCAAACATAAAGATGTTAAGACAGAAACCACGAGGAAATGCAGAAAAACAAATCAAACGTAAATTAATTTCAATAAAATAAAATCTAAGAGAAATAACTGAAACCGGAGTAACTCAGAAGAATACAATTTACACTGAATTAACAAACTGCTCCTGGACTAACTTTATATTTAAATTTAAATGAAGTTTCAGGGCTGACTGGACAAAACTGAGAGTTTGTTCACATGTGCAGGATAAAGTGTGGTCAGGACAGGTAGCACACCTGACAGAACCACCTGAGCTCCAACAGAATCCTGCGGATCAGTTTCTCCACACTGACACTCTGAACTTCTTCCTCCAGGTGAGCCTCGTCCGAGGAAAAGATGGTTTCGGATTCACCATCTGCTCCGACTGTCCGGTCCGAGTCCAGGCTGTGGATCCAGGTGAGAAACGCCAACAGCTGATAACGCTGGATAACACCACCGTCAGCTGACATGGGAACAGGGCTGGAATCATCTGATGAGTTTGTGTTAATTTAAAGGAACTGTTAGAGAACGAGGTCTGAAGTGACCTGAACACTGTGGTGCTGAGCAGCGATTTCATCCAGATACACTTCACTGTGATAAACACCTTCAGCACCACCAGCTCAGATGTTTCCTGTAGAACGCTGCTGACAGAACATTTACCAACCAGCAGAGACGTTCTCTGATTCAAGCTGCAGCTGGAGAGTAACCGAGTTCTTTCACAGGAATTTTATTCTCTGAACTCAAAAATGTAGTTTCACACTGAACAACAGCGCACCACCGCAGACCATGTGACCTATTGGCTTGATTTCATTGGTCACCTGTTGTGTTTGTAGGAGGTCCAGCTCATCAGTCCGGACTCCGTCAGGGTGACTCGGTTCTGCAGCTCAATGGACTTCCCGTAGAAACCTGGAAGTGTGTCGACCTCGCGCACGCCATCAGGTAGCTCCGCCCCCTCACAGTCAGACTCTGAAGACCAGAAAACCTTTTTATCTGACCTGTTTGTAGTTTTCATTCACCTGGACGTTAAAGTGGTGTCTCTCCTCAGGAGCTGTCCGTCTCAGATCGTCCTGGTGGTGTGGAGAGGTTTACCTGAGCTCAGGTCATGTGACACTTTGCTCCGCCCACCATCACACAACACGGTGAGTCTTAAAAACTAACTTTAGTGGAAGTCTCTGCTTGCATCCTCTGATGGACTTACTACAGGTGTTTCACAGGTGTTAAGCCGGTGCCATCCCGATCCCCACTCTCACCCCAGCCGGTCGAGGCAGATGGCTGCCTAGAGCTCTGCTAGGATTTCCGTCCATTAGAACTTAACGGAACCTTTTTTTTAGTTGTCAAAAAGTTCTGCTAACAGTCTTCATGCAAAGCTAACCACCCTCTGTCTCCTAGATGACAGGCAGGAAGTTGCTGTCTCACCCCTCCCACAGCAAACATGGCCAACGACGGGGTCAGGGGTCAGGGGTCCGGTCCAGTCTGGGGGCTCTGGGTTCTCTATGGAGGGACCGGAAGGAGGACCGCGAGGAAGAGGAGGATAAGGATGAAGACCAGGAGGCCACTGAGTTCTCACGTCACACCACCACACTAAAGGGCACCCGAGTGACATCATCAAATGGAGACAATTACATCATCCTTTCACCTGTCAATCCAGGAGGGCAGGTCAGTCCAAGGGGGCAGGGCCTACAGGTGTTTCCAGAACCTAAACGCCCTGATGGTGAGACTACCCTGGCTCTGGATCCACCAGAACCAACATTCATCTGAACCAGAATCTTTTACCTGAACCAGAATCAAGAACATTTTAATCGTTAGAAGTCAACCAAAGAACATAACATTCAGACATTTCACATAAAGTTCAGACGGGGACTGACAGAACCTGACCTGGACCCTTAGCTAGAACATTACTGATAACTGTTCTTGACTTTATACTGATATACAGAATCACCAGAACTTTTCTCAGAGACTGATTAGCCCCAAGCAGTTAGAGCAGAACCTTTACATTGGCTGAGAACCCTGATGTCAGTGAGCACAGCCCATCAGTGATTAAGCTAGCTCTAATAAAGTTCTACAGGACCTGTAAAGCGTTCTCCGTTTGTTCTCTTTCAGCTCCTGCAGCCAGTTTTCCATGACAGGAACGGAACGATCGGTATCACACCCTCTCTGACATCAATCATTTGTTCTGAGTATTGATTAATGTATTGATTGTAAATTGACTGAGTCGGGTTGGTTCCCCAGGTCGTCTGTACCAGACTCACCCCAGCAGAGGTCAGGACCTCCTCCATGACCCTCGACCTGGGTCGTCACGGCGACCGTTTACCAGCCACACTTCCACCCTGCCCCCCCCTCCCACCTCCTCCTCCTCATCATCATCGGCTCCACCCAGTAACTACGGCAACTACCAGAACTGCACTATCGTCCAATCACATCTGCCCTGCTCTGGATACGGAACCTACGTCACCCTGGCACCCAAAACCCTCATCTTCCCCATCTTTGTTCAGGTGAGAGCATTAACCAGAATCGAAACCCAAAACCAAAACCAGACCTTGCATGTGTCTTAGAACATCAGCGTCCATGTTGAGCCACTAACCACAACCAGAACCAGAACCAGAGCTAATTTATGATGTTAGAACCAAACCCATCTTTAGGTTACCATTACCCTGACCCAGAACCATTTACGGTTTCATTTAGCAGACGCTTTTATCCAAAGCGAAGTACATCTGAGAGTAGATCACATTCATACGCTGATGGAGACAGAGCACCATGCAAGGTGCTGCTGCCATCAGGAGCAACTTCAGGTTCAGGGTCTTGCTCAAGGCCTCTTCAACTGTGGAGGGATCAAACCGCCAACCTTGTGATTAGAAGACAACCTGCACTGCCAAAGACTTTCTCCTACCCCATCTTCATCCTGGTCAGAGATTCTTTCATCTGTCTTAGACCAACTTTGTCCAAGTCAGAACCTTGAAACTTGACCCAGAACCAAATCCATAATGTTCAATGCAAAGATCCTCGTCCCCACGTTGTCTTTATCCATTAAAGATAAAATGTTAGAACCCAGAACCTTCACTGAATGTTAAACCTACTCCTGATCCACTAATGTTAGAACCCAAAGCAAGTGTCTTCCTTGTGTTCCTCTCGGTCTGAATCCATTTTCACTTTAATGTGACTGAGAATGTAAACTATTACTGTAACTGAGAACCCGGAACAAAATAGTGGAACGAGAAAGCCTGATTCACAATGAATGAAAAATGTTGTCTTAACACAGAACCTGAACCCTATACCTGGTCTAGAACAACCTGCTCCATAGCCTTTAACCTTATCGTTGGTGTTGTTTTCAGCCTCTGGATCTCTGCAGCCCAGAAAGAACCCTGCTGATGTCAGAAGAAATGGTTCTACACCAGGCAGACCTGCTGCCCGCCAAGGTACCAGTACTACAAATATACTGATCACAGTACCACCGCTGAGGTACCAGTTCTGCAGATGAGCCTTCAGTCGGGAGGATGAGCTTTTATTTTCTGTCTGGTCGTGATCGATGGTTCCGAAGGAAAGAATCTGATCCTGAAGGACTTATTGACTTCTGAGAGCGGAGCCAGGATCAGTTTCCCTCTAATGGATCCTCCTGCATTCACACTAACACGATTCTGGGAATCTGCTGCTGCTGGTTTCATGTTTTCAGTAAAGCAGAAGATGAGACTCTCTGAGGACATCACAGGCTCAGAGGTCATATGACGTCCTTGTCAAACCTCAGCATGGAGTTTCAGGAAGCAGCAGAAGGAAACTCTTGTTTCACCTTCAGTTTTATGTCAGAGAGAAACAGGTTTTATAAGCTTCACTGACAATCTGTCACATTATAAATCAATAATCAATTAGACGTTTATATGATGGATCCATAGTGAACATCGGATAAAGCCGCCGTGATCCTCAGATGTGGTTCGATTAGTTGCTCATGAGAACAATATCCAGATTAACCTCAGCTCTGGTTGGAGGTCATCATCCTCCTCAGAGTCTCTGTCATGGTCCCGTTACTGCTAAACTCCCACAATGCTCTCTGCTGCCACCATGAGCTGTAGTCAGTAGACGCCTCCTCTGGTCTCTACAGTATTAAACTGTAAGAGGCTCCACCTGCTGGAACAACCAGGTACTACAGCTAGTCTATATGCATACTTCTTATCCGTTTGATTATCATTGACAATTTAGCTAAAGTATGTGTTTACTGTGTGTGTTCATTGTGTGTATTTCAGGTGACAGTATTGATCTACAGTGACCTCCTGCTGCTGACCAGAGAGGATGAAGCTGGACGCTGTAACGTCCTACAGAGTCCAGTGTACCTGAACACACTGCAGCTCAGAGACGGTACAATCTGTTGTTCTGTCCACTGTTCTCTGGATTCATGTTTTCATGATTATATGTTGTAAGACTTTAAAAATGTTGCTCTCTTCAATGGTTCTTCAGAAGGTTCTCTGGTTCTTTCAAATTTCAGCCAACACATATATTACACAATAGTTTGATTTAAAAAGCTGAAAGAAACCACTAAAAAAATTAACCATTTGAAAGAGGTTCCTTAAGCCTTGGTCACAACCAGATGCACGACTTTTGGGATCATTACGTTGTCTGTGAATTTTGGGTGCTGTGGAGGTTGTAGAGGTCGTAGAGGTCGTAGAAGTCATAGAGGATGTAGAGGTTGTACAGGTCGTAGAGGTTGTAGAGGTCGTAGAGGTCGTAGAGGTTGTACAGATCGTAGAGGAAGTAGAGGTTGTAGAGGTCGTAGAGGTTAGAGGTTGTAGAGGTTGTACAGGTCGTAGAGGTCATAGAGGACGTAGAGGATGTAGAAGTCGTAGAGGTTGTACAGGTCGTAGAGGTCGTAGAGGTTGTAGAGGTCGTAGAGATTGTACAGGTCGTAGAGCTCGTAGAGGTTGTAGAGGTCATAGGGGTCGTAGAGGTTGTAGAGGTTGTACAGGTCGTACAGGTC